CCTCGGCTATTGGGCTCAGCAGACCCATAATCACAGCCTCCCCTTCCCCCCCTTTATGTAAAACAACTCTTTGTGACATTCTAAATCCTAACCCCCTGGTTTGCTATTGCCCACATACTTGTATGCTGTCAGCGCGACATTGTAGAGTAGTTGTACATCAGCTGGTGGGAGTTTCTGGGAGAAAAGGGGTGACTAGCAGCTTGGGAATATGAGAAAACATTTTTCCATGAGTTGTGCTTTCGAATAAAAGGTGAAATTTTCCCTGTTTGTCCGGCAACAACTGGCCCCCGTGATTGTATTTCAGAAGGAACGGTTGACCTCTTGACCTCATGTGCTGAATGGCCACCAGACACCGGGTGGTTAAATAATATCCCACAATGTGATATCAGAGAAGTAGCGAACACGAGTGTAAATCCCCATCGTGGGACTTTTTATCAGCCCAGTTAAATTGACCCTTATATCGTAACCGAGAATGAGACCAGTGGGTCACAAAGTAGACAGAGTAACGTCAGTGTATCATAAACTGGTGGTAAAAAAGGCTACATGGGAGGAATAAAGGATATAGGGAAAGAAGCCTTTGGATGAAGATGCACTCCCCAAAAGCTCCCTTCCAAACCAGAAACGCTGCATCATAAGTAAGACTGGGATTTAGGGAAGCCTTAAAGTGCTATGACAACATAAGGGACATGCTGAGTTAACCCGACACGCCTACCGAACCACAGGTTTAAGACTGTAGGTCACTTCTGGGGATGTGCTGGGCTGTTTTCTGCAGATTGTTGTGTACAGTGAGCTGTTTGGCTTCTTCAGTCAACATCATTGTGATCCCGCCAACAGCCAACAGGGGTTTGGGTCAACAGGAACGAACGCGAGGAGGGACATCAGAGGAGCGGTTTGTAACAATGGCTTTCAGTCAAATAGGTACATCGCCTGTGCAATCACCACCGCGTGGCAAATTGTTCAATGCAATTATGTCACTTAAATCTCAACAATGCTACAACAAAACTATTGGTGGCGGTGGGGAAATATTTCTGAAAAACGTCACTGGGGAACGGGCGATCACTGATGTTCGTGAATGTGAAGGGCATTTTCGTCCTCACGCCATGTGCGTGTGTGTGTACGGTTTCCCAGAAGGCACAGCAAAGGATTTGCTGAAATCCTGTCATTTAGTGCGCGCGGCTCAGTCTTCAGTCTGACTCCTAGAGGGAAGCAGCCAAAAAAAGTCGCATATACGCGCAGACATGCACGCACGCAAATGCAAATATACAGATGCTGGGCACAGTTTGGAAGAGGAGGACTACGTAAAAATAAAGGAGGGAGTCGATTGGCAGAAGAAGGGCAAAAAAAGAAACAAATCGAAGACGGACTGAAAAAGACTGAATGCAATAGAGATATAATGAAAGAGAGAAACAATAACATGGACGCAGACGAGGGGGGGGGGGGGGGACAACGGAGATATGACAGGAAGACAGAAAAACAAAAAGCATGATTTTCCACATCAATACAGTCTCCTTTCACACCGCTGGGTCCGTTGGGGCAGCTGACAAGGGGTTGGGGGGGGGGTATTGTCAAGGCAAACAAACAAATTGGCCGTTTTTAACACATCCTGATCCCTGTCGTCATGCACCGCTGGTGAGCACGTAGGGGAAAAAAAAAAAATGTCTCCACCATTTCACCTGAGCACTTGAGAAGAAAGCTCATGTATGAAGTACACACCTTTTCCTCCTCCCTCTCCGGTCTCACTGCTTTCTCTCTAAATGTGGCCACGCACAAGTTGACCTCTGTGTTAGCACAGCAGAAGACAGGAATGAATCACAGTAGTGCTTATTAGGGAGATGTATATTCATCAGGCTATAAGAGGTAGGCTCTCTGGGGGTGACTGCTAATGCGTGCGACTCGCGAGCATCCGCAACAGCTGAGCAGTTCTGCATCGCAAAGCACTTTCACGGGACAAAAAAACTACAGGGCATTGTCTCGACCACATGCAGGCCTGCTTAGACTAATTGGCGAGTGGCTTCACCTACCTTATAATTTCAAACAAATCGGGTCGTTCTCTTCCTTTACGAGCCCCACTCGCAGATGTGTAATTTGAGGCCGCAGCAACGATGGAAATTGTATGCAAATGTATTGACGTTTCAACAATTAAAGAGGAGGTCTTGATTTGTGTGGGTGTTCACTGCAGCGCTCGGGGCGTTTATGCGGAAGCGATTCAGAATCTAATTTTACGACGGGGGATGAATAAAAAGGTTTTCCGAAGCTCACCTGTGTCCCATCGAGCCAGTGAATTGAGTCTGTTTGCGCGTACTTCACCAAAGAAATAGATTTTGATATGCTTACTCGGTGGTTTGAGGCCAAATATCAGAGCTCGGCATGAACAAGCAGTGTGTGCATAATGACTTTTACTATGGAATACCCCATTTGAATCAATTTAATCTTCTCAAAAACAAGATGCGATAAAGGAATATATCTTTTATGGGTTTTTGCATGCGAGTAAGAAAACGGGCATGGAGCCGTTGTTAAATGAGTGGATTATGGGGCTTCTGGTCAAAGCCAAGAGTGGGACTTACTGACCCATTTAATGTCCACTTGAAGTGAAGCCGCACGTTGGATTTGATCCCATCCACCCCCCCATAATCCTACAAGAGATGATCTTGCCTCGATGGATTTGACAAGAACTCAACTGTCCGTCAAACAGGGTCTCTACATCACTCCGATGTGATTGCACTGCATGACGGAATGAATCATCTAACATGAGTTTGCGTACTTGATGAATTTGGGGAAGGAGAAGGACGCGCAGTCGCTGCTGGGATGCTTTGAATTAATATCAAAGAGCAAAAATCTGTGTTTGAATTAAAAACCAACAGATCCTTTGGTTCCTTTGGAAACAATTTCAATTACAAGTCAACAATGAACACAACTCCAGCAGCTACATTAATAATACGCCAGGTTCAGTTGTTGTTCTTTTGTTTGTCCTCTGCTGTTCAAAACACAAACCTTCTACTTTTAACACTCCAATAGCATTGTTTGGGGGCCCAGTGACGCAGGCACTGAGACAAGCTTTAAGACATCCCAGAGTGTGTCTGGTGACAGCGAGGAGAAAGTGCCATCATTTATATCTCAACATCGGTCATGTGGGAGGACAAGTTTATTGACATCTGGATGATCATCCTGGACCGTTGTCCCTCGCATTCATCGACTGCAACTCAACATACATTAGTCGGCAGCGGGGCCGGCCTTGTAGTCTCATTTGTCAAGAAAAGAGAATGTGGGCCTTGTTGATGTTAAAATAAAAGACGTGCGAGTGCAGAAGCCCTGAGGAGCGAATGCAGCGTGGGATTTTGAGCGTAATCTGAGGAAAGGGGAAGTGGGTTCCTCTGGGTGCTTTGGAGGTCTGAATGAGTGAATAAACACTTATTTAAGGTATGTTTCTCACTCACACATACACACAAACATCATAGCCGTAATGGTGTATTATTTCAGGGCGGATCCCATTAAAGCCTTTGATTTCTGTATCTGTAATCAGTGTCCATTCATCAAACAAACAGATCATTGGACCGAGTCTCAGAACACAGATTATACACAGAATCCATCAGCGCTACGCTAAAAAATGACATGTTCGATTGCTTATCAAGCGGTTTATAAACAGATGATTCAATGTGAAGACATGCCCCAATTTGATGTATTTGTTGGGTGTCAAAAAAAAAAAAAAAGGCATATCATGAACACTTCTAATGCAGTATTCAGCATATGCGAGGAACTGCTGAGAATGAGCTCATTCGAATTCTCTCTGTGTAACTATGTTTTCTGCAGGAATGAAATAAGGAAACACCTCGGCTGGAGCGTGTTTGAGCTTATTTCTCAACGGCTCCAAATGTACTCTTGATATGCAAATATTTAATTAAAAAATCTGTCTAGTATCCGTTTTATTGGCAGTTGAGATAATTCAAACATGTTATTCATGGTGGGAAAAATAAATAAAGAAAGCATTTTCCATCTTGTTTCCCCTGATTGTTACAATATTCAACTTAATGCCACCTCTGCATATTAATTCTGCCTTCCAACCCGGTTTAGGTGCCTTTCTTTTTTACAATGAACATTGATTTGGCCTGAATAGATAGATGCTGTTCCACTGACTGAACACGATTTAGCAGCCCGCGTCCCATCAACACATGTAACGGGCGTCGAGTCCACGGATAATCTGTGGAGAAGTTGCTTGACCTCCGCGGCTCATCGGCGGCTGCGTTGAACATTGCGTGGATTTAGGACTCTGGGTGTGGAGGGGATTAGGATAATTACCGTTCGGTGAAAGGACCATCTCAGGGCTACGCTAGCCTCCCCTCAGCTCTCCACCGCTAAATTAAAAACATACGCTGATGATGTGACCCTGTGAGATTGATCCTTCTCCCTTGAGTCTTTTAAAAATATTTTTCTCCCTTAGATAGAACATTGAATCCTTACACTCTGCCTACGGAGAGTAAAGTCCTTTTTTTTAATGACAGACGGAGATTTGGAGTTTAAGCATCTCTCGGGGGAATGATCTAACCTCGCCCCGGGACAGGCTTTGCACCTGTCCGGGCATGTATGTTTCCGGAGGTAAAAGTATATCTCTCTTTTCCTGTCATACTCTCTTTAAAAATGGATGTGCTAGCAGCGTCCCTCGATCCCTTAGCATCAGGAAAAGTCTGCATGGTAAACCTCCCCAAATTCCCTTGATACTGATCCCTTATGATATGGTAACTGGCTTTGAGGTGTTGTTTACCACAGAGCCCCGCTCGATTCACCCTCCCCGAGATGCTTTCCTACACTCCAAAAGCTTCCTGTAACATATCTAGCACATATTAGATTCTAAATTAAAAATCAGTCAGCTGTGACACTTGATGCATAGATGGGAAATACCAGAGGGATATCAGAGCACACCTGACAGCCACTAAAATCACAATTTCTGCTATCCGCAATTTAACAATACCGTCTGAAAATAAAATGATTAGGTTCTGGGCTCTTACCGTGCGCCGGATCGGGCGGGCCGAACTCCAGGTTGTACCTCAGGATGTAAAAATTATTCCACACATAAAGCTGGTTATCTCGCGGATTGTATTCCACTGCTGCGATGTACTGGTACTGGTTGGGAAAGTGGATATCAACGTATTCCCCGCGGTTCTGCTTGGTGTTGTAAACGTAGTCGACGAGGCTCTTGCTGACCTCGCTTTCGTTGTCTTCGTAGGTGGAGCGCACCACGTACAGCACGCCGCACACCATGAAGGCGTCGGAGGCCGAGCGCTGTCGTACGTCGTGTCCCAGGTGGCCTCGAATCGCAGCGTGTAGGGGTTCAACTGGCTGATCACGATCATGCCGTTGTTCTGCTCGGTGGCGTAGATCACCCACAGCCCGTTCTCGTCCACCGCCAGGTCGATGTCGGTCTTGCCGCCCCACTTGTAGGGCGACGTGTCGTGGTAGTTGGCGTTGTTGATGATGGCCTCGCCGCTTTTGATTCGAGTCCGCAGGTCGAACTTGACGATGTTGCGCGTGCGCTCCTTGTTGAAAAACACGGCGCCGTCGTAGACCACAAATCCAGTCCCGTCCACCCGGTGGGGCAGCTTGTAGGTGATGGTCTGCCGAGCGTTTTGGAAGTCGTCCAGGGAGGAGTACTCGATGAGAGTGTCTGTCCTGTAAGGAGTCCACGGCATGAAGTAGATTTTGTCACCGGCCTGCAGCGGGTCTTTGCACCAGGCGCCGGCTTGCTGCTCCGCTTCGAACAGAAAGGAAGGATCGCCAACGGCTTTCAAAGTCCCGGGACAAAGAAAAACTGGCAGTGAGAGAAGAGTAGAATAGGAAACAGACACAGGTTAGCACGTGAAAATCAAACCACACGAATGTACATTCAACGTCCATATAATCTCTAATGTGTTCATTGTGAGTTACAGGTTGTCCACGAGGGCTAAGGACAGACGCGCATTAAAGAGCGGCCGAAACACAACTAACATCTATAGCCAATATTCACAAGCAGAAAAATGATTTTAGGTTTGTGCAGAGAAGGAAAATAAGGAACAGAAAAGTTATTACGCATTATGTTTAAATATGGTATTCTGAAAAAAAACAAAAAAAGCTGAGCCACATCTAATGTTGGGAGTAGAACACAAATGAGGGGAAATAGAACAGAAACAAAACTTAGCGAAACAATTCCTGTGAAAATAAAATGAAAACAAAATGCATCCAACTAAAGTCACCAGACGGCAACAGACGGGATCAGTCTGTCGAGTGTTTGCGTGTACGTAGATGTATCGCGGTTACACCGCCTATTCTACTGTGTATACCTGAGAGGCTTGTCATTACGAAGTGGTGCAAATGTCAGAACCGTTAAAAGGAAGAATAAAAAATAAAAAACGTTCAGTAAGGGTCTCTTGAGGTGTTTCGGCGGGGTGCTCTGAGGCATAGGAGGCACAAGAATCAACACAGAAAAGAGCAGCAAGTGGTCAGGTGAGTATAATGGGGAGAGTGGAAAGGGGGGAGGCGGGGGGAAAGGAGGGGGGGCTCTGAGAAAAAAAGGGGACAGTTGAAAGCAATAGTTGGGGGGAAAAAAGGGGGCCGTGAAACAGTCTGACCATAGCATGCTATGGAAAAAGGGGGGGGGGGGGGTGGAGGCCAGGCAGTATGAGATTCTGCTAAGTAGCAAAAAGCATCCGGGGCAGAATGAGGAGAAGAAGCCCCTTTGCACCGCAGCCAATTCCCCCCCATTTACATGTTTTGGCTGCTTGTGTGCCGTTTCGTTTTCATGGCGAGCGCCACTTCCCTTTTTGCACGTTAAGATCACAGCTCAGGGGGGTTGTGACGATAACGTCCGGGATGAGTTGGTAGGGGCCACCAAGGGGAAAATAGGTAGTTTACAACCAGATGCCACAAAACAAGGAGCTAGGGTTTGGATTGTGTCTGTTATTTACCTTTTTGCTCCACTTCTATTTTAAGCGTTGGAAGAGAGAATGAAAGGGTTGCAAAGGGGGGAAAAAAAGAGATTAATATGAATTAACTGTCATAGCTATGATCACGTATGCAAAAACATGTTATGAGACACGGACAAAGATGGTCAGACCTATTTAGGAAATTAGAATAAAAGTTGTTAGAAAGGTGAAATACGGCGTCAAGTTTCCTGTCTTAGAGAAGGCTGGACGAGAACATGAATTACACATTTGATTCACGGCACAGTGGTGGATGGATTTTGTCTTTAATACACCAACTGCCAGCAAGTTTGAGCTATTGTAATGACATAACTTTTGATATTCAGAAAATAAAAGCAATCATTTGATACATGGGCATAAAAATCTATATTCATCTTCTAACATTATGAGCAAATACATGTTTGTTTGTATAGTGAGCCTAATTAAAGACTCAAAACTATGCTGTGAATTCTATATAATACTCACAATAATCATTTGAATAATTCAAATGTATTATAATTGACCATAAAGTGTGGTCTGTGTTAATCCACCCACCACCATTAACCACAACCACAACTAACACAACACCAATAAAAATAATAACTTGACTGTTTACGACTTGTATTTTTCTTTAAAGAAATATAGAGCAGTACATTAAATATAAATATTCAATATTTTACTTTAAATGTAGAGCAGTACATGTTAATATATTTTTAGGAAAACATATTAAGATTTAAATACAATTAGGATTCAATTTTACCATTCAGAATAATACAACTAATACTAAATCTAATAAGATTCTTGGTATAAAATGAGTCGTAGTAGTAGTTTTTACACAGAGAAAATAAATTGACTGTGGCCTTATCAAAGAAGTAGGGTCATTATCTTATCTTATGCACACTGCCTGTTGAAACGTGTATTACATCCACAATAAATCTTTTGTCTTTGACCTCTGTCTGCCAAGTTAGTCAACATGTGCCCATTCAGACTATTCAAGAAGCTTCACCCAGTGCATTCATCGGAGATGTGTACCAATGATTTGCAAAATATCACAAGGCTTAAAGGTCTTTCCAGATGGATTCGTATTTGCACTAAACTCACCAGATCTTAACTGCAACAAGAATAGAGATATCTAAAAAACCTTTACACAATTCTTCAAAAAAAGACTCGGGTTAATTTGAAACCTAGGTCAGACTACGAGACGCTGCCAAGTCATGTCTTCCAAACTGGAAAAGTTTTGGTCTGCATACTGTTTTTTTTTTAATTTGACAGGACAATGATGTGCATTGCAGAAAAAAATTATTAACTCATTCAATGACACTTAATCTGAATATGAGCGAAGAAAAGTTAGGCTAAAGAGACTAAAACTATTATGTAGACAAATTGATTATTTCCTTTCGTCAAAGGATCTGAGTTTCTCCACTTACATCGACACAAATAAAAACACTTAGATATCGTTATTTTTTACCAGAGATGAGCTTGTAGGCAGACCTTGATCACTCAACATGAGAAATTATGAATAACTAAGATTACCAAGATCAATGTGAAACACTGAATGTACAAATATTCAGCCCCTTTCCACCACGGGATGATGTTAGTAATTGTAAACTAAGTTCCCTTGAATCCTGCAACGATCCAGCTCCAATTAGCACAGGTTCATATTACAGCTGGGATCGGTTTTGATTCTTGAGTCTGACCTAGGCTTCCATAGCAAGAGAGCCGTAGAAACTAGATATTCACAAGGATCCCCGAATGAATGCACGCCATTCTGCAGAGGAAATTCAAGAGTGTTGCAGCTAACTAAGGGATCAAGCACAGGGAGGAGGCAAATCATTTATATAACAGTTGAGATCTCAGCCTCGGCCACATAGAACAGAGAAGGCGCGAAGAGAGACGGGGTGAGATGGCGTGAAGGACACCTGGAAAGAAAAGGAGAACACATGACGGGGGACCCGATGGCGTAAGCAGAAATGAGAAATATAGAAACAGCAATCAGTGTGATCAGAAAATCAGTCAGGGGATGAAGAGAGTGAGTCAGATAGCCGAGGAAGTTTCCTGCAGATTGCACAGAGGAAGGGAAGAGGGTCAGTCACTTTAAATATAGCAGCATTAAAACAAACATGAGAAACATGCCAAACCACACTAACCCCAAATATTTATAATAGACATTGCAGACTTTCTAGGGAATCCCTACTTTTTAAATTATATTATAATGAATATCAATAATCAAGGGAACCGTGTTCATATGAACAGATGTCTGCTGTCGACTGTAGACTTATGGCTAATGGCTTCAGTGTTGGATTTTAATCAAAGTATCATGTGAGCTACGCTGAGGAGAGAAAGAGGGAAACAACTGAAGACAAAGAGGCAAACACGAAAGGTGACCCGAAATCATGCTGTTACAGCTCTACTTCAATTTTCATTATCTGGCCATCACTGTCACATGGAGGCTGGGGGCCGGTTGGTGGGGGGGCGGGGGGGGTTACTGGCATTAGGATGTGATGAAAAATGGACAAATTAGCATTGAGGTTCGTTATTCCCACAAGCAGCGTCTTTACATTTGAGGTAAGAATGGAAAACTTTCTGCTGTTTTTTTTTTTTACCCATGCATTTTTCCAAATTGCTTGCGCAGAGGAGTCTAAATAAAGAAACCTCTGCTTTTGTGTTGCTTGATTGGAACAATTATAATAGCCAATTCAGAGCGTGACTCGGTGCCAGGTGAAGGCTAAATTTACATCCTTGGCTGGAAAATGAAGATAGTGCTGCTAATGAGGGCAGTTTATGACAAGAACTAAAATAAGCCGAAAGGATAAAAAAAACGGTAGAAACGTCGGCAGCTTGTTTCAAAGGCCACTTGCACACAAGTGGAAGAAGCCCACATTTATTGTGTCATTATACAAAAGCTTAGAAAATGGAAACAGTAAGTAATTAAGTACGAAATTATATCCAGTCAGCTGGAGAGACAAGAAAACAACGGTTTATCATATTATGATGTTAAACGGCCGGCCATATTTCATGACACAGACAGACTTTAAGGGGCAGCACTTACAAGTGAAAACGAGGACACTTGCCCCGCCGCTGATCAGCTTAATGGAGATTTAATACGTTGTCCTACAAAACAACTTCTCAAGTCTTGTATCCCAGAAAATCTAGGGGATTCTAAGCTCCTGAACCACTGCAATGTTTTAATCACAAGTCTCTGTATTTGGCACGTGATTTATTCCATCTGAGAGCGGTTGTGAGGTCTTCGCTATCCTACGCGCCAACTGTAGGAGGGTTTTGCTCCGGAGCGAAAAAAAGGCTCAGTAAATCTCACCCTCTGACTGCCTTTCCCTGTCTGACTCCACAAAATGATCTAGGGCATTTTTGGGGACGAGGAGACAGAGGATCGGGTAAGACGGAAAGAAACATAACACGAAACTCATTGCCTATGAATCACAATCTATCACAGTTAACAACAGGGCTTGAGTGGGGAAAGGCGGAACTGGGCTGGTGCGGACTGGGTCAGACTGGGAGAACACTCAGCACTTACCAGGGCAGTGGCGATACGATACATTCTGTGTTCTTGGTCCTATTCTGGTTGGGCATGGACCTTGAGAAGCAAAAAGACGGCGCTACAGACATGCATTGTTTGAAACTGCTTAGAGTGAAATGAGGACCCTTTTGGATTTTTGTTAGAAAGACTTTGCCAGCACTGAGAGTCTTTTTTTTCTCACCACATTACACCTGTTTCTTGGTGCAAGACGGAGGCAAAAGAAACGGTGCGAGGACATGAGTGCACCTTGAGGCCAATCAAACTATTACGTTTAGAGGTAACACACTGAGACATGAAATCAATACTTCACTTAACTACGTGGCGTATAAATGTTGCTTTTAGGTATTTCAGGTAAAAGCTACATGGTTTGGCTTTGCCTCAATAGGTTGGACTCAAATACTCATTATTTCTGATTCTATATTAATTACAGGTCCTCAAAGCCTCGGAGAGGTTAACCTTTAAGTTGTAATGAGTTTTACCATCTAATGATGATCACTAATGTATTCTGATTCGACACTGAGGGGGAAGAGCTTGGCCGGGTATACTGGTAATGAGCAATGTAGGATAAATGCGTTGAATATAACAAAAATACCGTAGAAGGAAGTAGTTACATCTCTATATTTGGCTTTAACTTCCCCTTTAGGTTGATTCAAAAGTGAAACCCAGTTAATAAGACAACAGGGTTCAGGTACTCATTTGAATTTACACAAGCTGCCAAATACTCTAATTCTTTTCAGTTCCACCTGATTAGTGATTCTGGCAATTGATGTAAATCTTTGTCATTAATCAGTTCGTAAAGGTTACCACAGGGAAATTGTAAATGAAACGCACCTTAAAAGAGGAGGAAATTTAATTCAAAGGGCAATCTAAAGACTGCTTGGGAGAAACGAATATTTTAAGCATCCACGAAAGAGACTAAATGTTAACACTATCTCTTCCGATGAAATACTACCTGGTTGCAAAATGAAACGTCTGTTGTATGAATGTATATTAAGAAATCACGGTGAGCCGGGTCTTGCGCCCGATAAAACTCTCTCCACACAAGACTAGCGTGACAATGAAACGCTCGCTCGCCGCCGCGGAGAGTCGGCACGACTTCCTCCAGCCGCGCTTTATTCTGCCACCTCACAGCCAGGCTCAGTCAGCCGGCCGGAAACACGGCTCGCGCATCAATAATAACGGCCGCACAGAAAGAGGACCAAAGGGTTCCAACAGGTCGTATATCATGAAAAGTTCACGGTGTTACACAGATGGAGGAAGATACAGTGGAAAATGGGGCCGCGCACAAAGAGAGCAGGCTATCTGGAAAATGCAGCGGGAGGAAGAAATGAGACGAGATATGATGTGATACAGTGGGGAGATAGAGAGGATGGGGGTGTGGAGGGGGGGGGGGGGGGTTCAATTCATGACAGAAGGGTCGGACTTACTGTAGGGCACACACTCATACTGGACCTCCAGGTACTTGTAGGTCCCCGGGCAGGGGTCAGGGAAGACATCTGAACCCGTGATCACGATGCACTGGGTCCGATTGTTGCATCTGGAAACAAATAAGCGGAGGAAAAGTATTCAGCAAAAGAACACGCTAAATACATCCACACTGGTCTTTTCAAGCACAGTAAATAGTGAAGGAAATGAAACATGCGTCATTATAATCGGTGGGTGAGGGGGAGGATTGAAATTGCCCTACAAATAAATACAACGGTTACCACATGGCAATGCTTTTAAGTCCGTTAGCTTAAGGGTCAACTCCATTGCTTTTCACTCCGTACTCGTCTTGGGTCTACGGTTTAAAATAGGCCCATTGTACGTTGTGCGATTGCATTTGGGTTTGTTTTGTTCCAAGAGTTTAGATAATCTGAGAGAATGTGCATGGTACAATGAAAAAATACAAACACACTCTGCAACATTTACTCCACTCTCCACCCCCCTCCTTGCCACAGGGTCAATAATACATATGTAGTCAATAACTGGTTAAAAGTGTTTTGCATTGTATTGCATTTCTGTTCTTTTACACAGTTTTCGGCTCCATCTGTTCTTGAACATTCTCCCTGCCAGGTGTGTTCGAATGCAAAGTGGATTACACAGTGGATCTTGTGTATGTGTGCGTTGTTATGCACATAACCGCCCTCTCGCACATAAGACTCTGTGACTAAAACTAAATATAGAAGGTGTATGCACAGGAACTGTACAAATGAATGCAGCACATGTCGGTGGATAAGACATCAAGACTTATTCACACAGGGCTACAATTGCATGGGGACCTCATGCGATTTGTGGATCTGGCCCCCCACATCTGTGTTTGGTGGGGCACATTTGGGCAGAATAAACAAAATGTGTTTCACTCAAATGTTCTGTCTTATTGATTGGAACATGGAGCTCCTTTACTGAATGGGTGTACACATGCTGAGCAGCTTGATGAGGCTCTTGAATCACTCACTCGAAATGCCAAGATCAACATTAATGATTTCTACTGCTGCCTTTAAACTTCTCGATATGGGAAGGCAAAAATAAAATGAATAACTTGAATGTGTTTGTGTGTTTTGCCGTGAGTAAATTGTAATGTAGTGCACATTTTGAGTTACATTACATTTTAGGAAAACATTTGTAAATATCAGAAATCACATGGAGGACCCAAGGTTGTCTTAGTCATTACAGATATATACACATACACATATAGTTTATTTCACTAGAAATTCAAAGCATTGTTACCCATGTCGGCCACTGCCTTTAACATCTGGAGCACAGACATTCTAATTGAGCCATCGGCGTGCTCTGAAGCCCGGGGAATTGCAGGTGAGCGTCCTTTCGCTGTACTGAAATCATGATAATGATCTATACTCCCAGCGAGCCCACTTTGCTACCGTGGGGACTAAAAATGTTATTGGCAACGTGAGGAGCCCGATCAATAACTCTGTTCTGCTGATTTAGCAAGGACCAGAGATAATATTTGTTTCTTCTGATCAGAGACCAGTGAACGCATTTTACTGCAGATCATTGGAAAATGTATTACCGGTTGCATTAAATTGTGCTTTGGGTTTTTGACTTTGCTTTGGACCACGGAGGTATAATCACCGTTTTGTGTCCACTGTAATTAATGTAATATTAGGTAGCTCAGTGGAACAGCGGAGAGAAGCTTACTGAGCTTTGAACAGACGCAGAGAGGTGTGGAAATTGTTTGGTTGTCAGATTGAAAAAAATAATAATTCTAACGGCATGCCATGGATGCGTGCAGTGCCCTAGGTTTACGGCACCAAAAGAAAATTAACCAGCAACTTAAACAAACGTCTTGTTTTCAAGTGAAAAACTCAATAAATCAAAATAACGGCAGGGAACCAAATTAGCCATTGCTTTTTTTCAACTATTTTTAAAGCATAAAAGTGATTAATTTCCGACTTCCACCTGTTCTATTTCTCCCAATCAGCATGTATGCCAATTAAAATAGTTCATGCATTTTTTTCAGATACATTTGAATGACGGCATTTTTTTATTCAACTAAAAATAATTGTATTATTTTTTGCATTTGGCAAATGTGTTAAAGTGATGGGCTTTTTTCCCAACAGAGCCATAATGACACTATTTCTGTTAACATCTGCATGCATGCATCTATGTTTAAAAAGGGTTGCAAGAGAGACTTCACTTTATTAATGACCCTCCTGTGTGATAACAGATGAGATAATCCTCATAGTATATATTTGTTTTTCTGGTAATGAATTCAATGAATTACTGTTTTGGAATTAAAACAGACGCATCATGCTCAGCCCATAATATGCCGCTTGCATTTGTGGGTAATATTTCATGACTCTGCAGCACTTTCCATATATTATATGGTCACTTTGATGATTCTGTCCCCTTGCTCATGCATACGCATATCACGCAGAAGCAAAATAAATTACAGTGCTCTATCTAACAGATTCCAATGAGACTGGGAAAGGACTGCCTGGTTTATATTACGCATATGAAACAGAATAATATCAAAAATAAAATCCATGACACTAATGAGACACAGGCCTGTCATCGTTTCTCGGGCAAACGTATTAAACAACAGGACATAAGCACTGGGGAAGAAAACACCTCATATTTCTTAAGAAACAATGTTGACATAAGTGTTGATAGCCCTGTCTGATATATTGCCCTAATTTTAGAGCTGTGGAGCAGGAGCGGCCTGTTCAATGGGATCGCGTGACTGTGATTCCTTCTCCTCTGTAAAACCTTGTGCTTCTCCTGAGACCAAATGAAAATTATGAATGACTCCAGTGCATGCTTTTAGCCCTCAGTTTGAGAAGAATCTTGTAATGGAAATTCCTCCAATGAAAAGTTCAATTTGGGCCTGCAAGGGCACAGGTCTCAAAGTGCACACTAATTAAATACATGTAAAATATGATATCTCTGACAATCTTTTGATAGTCTAAGGCTATGTAGTAATTAATCATTTACATAATGAATATTAAGTTTCTCCGCTTTTCCTTCAGAGCTAAACGTTTCCCTCTTCACTTCTTTAAATACCTTGACTGTTCAACAGGATTTTACGAATGAAAAAAAATGTATCGACTTAATCTTGTTATGCTAAATAAATAATAAAGACATTTTGAATCAGTATGAAGTAAAAAGGACAGTTCTTTTGTATTAGCATATATAAATGCAGATGTGATTTAATGTAAGAAAAGCTCATCCAGTACAAAGTTTGGTTTCCAGAGCTCCACATCCGGGAAATGACCAGAGGTTGTCTACATTTGCTAAAATTCAGTTACAACTGAATATATTTATATTTGAAAACACGTTCTGTGTGAAAAAAAATGATTCATCCTCCGAGTAAAACTAAAGCCAGAGGAGGGCGAAGCTACTTTCTGCTTTGATTAGCTCCATTTCCCCCGACCAGCCTCTTAATGAGAGTGAAGTATTCCAAATGTAATCCCATCACATCTCTGACCTTTTTGAAGAGGCAGACGTCACTACAATCAGAGCGTCACAGAAAATGATGCTTGGATTTGATGCAAATTCTACTTTAAAAATGAGCACTCCCCGCTGACAGCGAGAGAGGGTGCAATAAGATGCCAACAAGGTGTAACTGATGGTTCTCCTGATACCGTGTATCCACATGCAATTTAACCTTTCCCACTGTTATCGTAAAGCATGTCACAGGGATAATTGCACGTGAACATAATTTGCCAAATGAATGAACTCATTGATAAAAAAATAATAATTCTACAATCTCTTTTTCTGCTAACAAACCTCGGGGAAAATAAATAAATATAAAAGAGTAATCTAGATCTTTTTCCACTAATCCCTCGACAGCTACAACGTCATTTCAAATCAATGCTTCTGTGTTCAGTAAATCAGCTTGCAAATGGTGTTTGCTAAGATGTTGTAACTGTGTAAATTGAATATTAAAGTAATTTTAATTTACCTACATGGACTTTAAACCATGTGTAATATTAAGACAAAGACACACTGGCCTATACTAGCTTCTAAAGAAAACATTTGCAATATAGAAGTGAGACGCAGCCGTTGATGTTTGAGGTAAATGCAGGATGATTTTTCCAACGCTTAATACACATCTGGGTTATAAGGTCGGAGCCTAGCATCTTAATGCCCTTCAATGCACTGCTTTTAAATTGAAAAAGTACAGTGAGTGATGGAGGTCTCATCATGTGACCCGCCATGTGCTGCTCATGTGACACGGCTAGTTTAGACCAAAGACAAGATGTCTTGAATTGTCTATCCCTCGTCGCTCCAGGGCTCGCTCACTCACTCACTTCAGGAAGCTTAAGCAGCCATTTGTAATTCAGAATATCAACAGCATGAACAATTGCTGTGTAACTGGAGGAGGAAAGCGACATGAGTGAGGGGAGCATATTACAGAGAATGGCACAATCTACTTCCTGGTGCTCCCTGTTTGAATTTCAATCAAATTAGCGTCTCTTAAACTCAAAGTGACCCGTCTAGCTCCATTTCATCCGAAATGCTGATGAGGTTCATGGCACAATTATCAAGGCAGACATTTCTCTCAAAAGGGAAGCCTGTTCATAGCAGACAGGCCGTTGGATAAAAATCCTTTCCAAGGCGACAGAATGGCAGCGAAAGAAAAAATGTAATTCTTTATACATTTACACCAAGCAAACAAAAATGCACAAGCACAGACGCTTGATTTACAATCACCTCCAATATCAGTATATTTAGACCATTTTCTAAGGGGATGGCCCAATATTAATTCAGGAAATAGGTTGTTGGAAATGATCCATTAGCATCCTGCTTTCAACTTGGGAGTCTGACCCAATATCCGGGTAAGACTTCCCAGAATCTCGTAATTACTGTCATATGCTTGTGTTTATGATGTGCTTACTGGAGCTGCCCATGGTGCTCAACGGGGGGATTCCAGGATCTTACAGACTCGACAGGAAGTCTGTGTGACCCTCATCCGTCCATCTTACCTATTGATTTTTAAACCAGCCAGGGTATATTGCCATGCCACTAAAGTCAATGGAAATGCTACTATGACATTCTGCAAGGTTTAAATTTGACCTTTATAAGATGGCAAAATGCAATTTAAGGACAACCACGCACAAGGCCAAAGCTACACAGGCATGTCGTAAAAACAACTTTAATGTTTTGGAGTGGCCGAGAGACCTGATGATATCTGTGCAACCCGAAAGGGCTTAACCAGTTTAACAGAGAGGTATGGTGGAGACTGCAGTGCACAGAAGAGCCACGCTGATAGAGACTCCAGTGCCGTTTCAGAGTGATTTTAAATGTAAGAGTCATCAACTGATTGAAGATGAATATTTCCAGATTGGTAGTTTTAGAAGGGTATCATTTAAAAACATTGCTGGAAATTTTGGCAACCCACAGAGATTTTTTAACTAATTATGTTGTCAAATAGAGGTAGACCATAAAACTGGTCCAAAACATCAAGATGCTAAAAATATATATTTTATTGCCCAACTATTTAGTTATTTATTGTCAATATCATATCAATTGCGTGCCAATACGATCCTAAACAGAGAGCGGTTTCATGGCTCGTGAACTTGTGTACACCCCGCACTTAATCTGGATCTTTATGAAATCTTAATCTGCGGCGCTTTAAATAAACACAGACGGAGGGGAAGAACAGTCAGTGTGCTGTCAGGCGGCAGCGACGGAGCTCCTTGGAGAGCCTCGCAAGCAGTCCTGTCACCGATATAAATAGTGTAAGCAGCATCATTTACTCTACAGAGCTGCCTGGCATCTATTGACAATTGCACGCTGATATTACTGGGTCATTTCGATATTACAAACGAGTTGTTAACCCCATTAAGTTAATAATGTTTGTTGAAAATCTGTCACGTTCAAACGGAGGGTATCATTACAAGATGAAACCATTTCAAATACCCAATGGTGAATGGTAACGATGATTTTTAATGATAATGATGAACTAACTAGCTGTCCTCTAATCCCACAAATTAATTCCACCGTCTGTAAGAGAGCTATCGGCTTTGATCATTCTTGTCAGTGATATGGTTCCTGGAAAACCCGCGATCCACCGGCACGGCGGGACGCAGCCACGCTATGTTCCTGAAATCGATGACCTTGTTATCGAACGCTTCAGATGAAGCTCATTACTCATCGCAAAATCAATGTGTATTTAAGCCACTTATTCATACCGTCTCTCCCCGAATAAGTTCTTTTTGATTTTGTCTAGATGCGTCACTGTCATCTTAACTGCTCTTCGAGCTATTAGATTTAAATAGGAAGTTTGTGTCAGATGGTTGGTGCACGCACAAGTAAATGGATGGCAAAACAATACATTTAAATTACTGTTTATAATGTAGATGTTTGGCAAGATGTTGTGTTGTGGTCATTATCATTATCTTTAGCGCGGATGAGGAAATGTAATTATCAAGAACTAAAGTCCTGAAAAGGAGAACATAAAACCATCACCACCCTGAATATTATGATCAATAAATTAATTATTTTAAACTGTACTGCCATGCAGTTTCGCATCTGCTGGGGAGGTGTCCACGTGAAAAATTCCTGCACAGATTATCACCCACTTGAGTCGACTAATTGCTTGCAGCTGAATGTTTTAATTGAGCCACAACCGTCCTAGGGCTATTTTCATGAAAATCATTGTGCTCATGAATATAATATGCCAGCAAGATATAAAAACAATTTGGAGTGCCAACCGGATCTATCAAACTCAGCGATGCCTCAATCCAATTCTCCACACTTCAGGACTACATTCATTTTGAATGTTTAAAAGTGAACACAGTTTTCCACACAAGTGCTAATGTGATTTCCCCCCCCCCACCCCACACACACAGACCCCAACCCCACAGACACACACACTTAAATTTGTAGGCCAGGGTAATTATTGCAACAAATAAATGTGGCTCTTCAATCATTCCTTGATGAAGACTGTACGGTGGGAAATAATTGTTTTTTATCCACACACAGTGTGTGTGCCCCACATATGGAACATTTCAGCTGGGTTGGCCTCAGCAGGAGCCAGACAGCAGACCGCAGTTTTGACTTGTGAAGAACTGACGGGCTCAGACCTTGAAACAAACATTGCATCCAAAATAGACTGAATAAAAAAATAAAAAAAAATCCCCACATTTCTCTTTTTGAGCGTGATTATTTTTGACAGCAGAGGCATTTCATTTGCTTCTTATTTATTTGATTCCTGTAAATAAATATACACAAAATACTAGAATCCCTAATTAGTCCCATATGTAATATTGGGCCTCTGTCAAGCTGCCCTTGCATTTATTTTCCCAACAGTACAGTGTTTTAAATGTCTGCAGTTATTATGTAAACTGCTTTTATGATTTACTGTAGACCCGTATAGGATTTAAACTGGCCTCATTTCTTGTAAGTGAACATACATAACATGAATCTGAACTCACACTTTCCATGTTGACGTATCTCTCAAGACTCTCACACTGACAAAGAAACCATCCGTGTATGCCACTTCATTTAAATATATGCCATTCACTTTTTTGTTCTTTTCATGGGCAGGAGATGTCTTTTGGATTCCGTCCTGCGGTTTCACATCTGAATCCTTGCAAGGTTCTTTTTGTGTGATTTTTTGAACCCAGGCTCCTGACAGAGACCATTTGTATCACACGGCACACGGTATCTTCGAACGCTCATATTTCTCTCTTTGCGCCGAGTACAATGGCACGGCGGAGACATTGAAATGCTAAAAATACATTTAAAATAACATCTGAACTGCGTCCTCTGGCACCATCGGGGTGCACGGGGGGGAAGACGCTGCCAGGGACCTTTTTCTACCAGACCGTTTGTTTTAAGGTGACTCCTGCCGGGTCAGTATTTGTGCTTCAGTGGACGGTTTTCCTGTACGAGCGAGGCACGGGGCAGCGTAACACGCGGGGGCCACGAGCGGGGAGCAGGCAGGCTGCAGCTTTTCAAGACAGACAACGTGAGTCAGCTATCTAACTTCATCAAACGGGGCTTGACAATAAACCCCCTGAATACAAGGGCTCCGCTTTCATTTTATTTCCCAGGGCGGCTCGCCAGAGTTGCTGACGGTCTCATACCGTCCAATTTCTCTCTCTGTGGCACTCGTATGTCATTCCATCCCGTGCACTTTGGCTCGGATGGCATCCCTTATGTGACAACTGGTCTCATGTATACGGCGTTACCAGAGGAACCCTGCTGTGGAGGTCTGAGCACCTCCGTGGGTATGTTTTCCACAATGAATCATCCTTCTTTGCACATGCGTGACATGCTGCACAGAGACGGTGGCTTTAAAATGTGAGACGTCGCTCTGGTCTGTAATCAAACTGTAAATCGTGGCTGCCAAGAGCCCGTCCTTAATCTGACCATCAGGATTTACCAAAGAGGCGATAAAGGAGGGCAGAAGCATAACGTTAAGCAGATGCCGGGGGTGGAAGAAGTATTCAGATCGTTTACTGAAGTAGAGGTAGCAATACAGCAATATAAAAGTTATCAATAACAAGCATCAATAGTTAACATTTAAGTTAATTAAGTCAGCGTGCAAAGGTTTTCATCAAAGTAACAAACTTTAAGTATCAACTACAAATGTAGTCTTGCTTATTTTTTTCAAAAAGAATAATGTAAGCAGTACTTTAATGTTATAGTTGTTTGGGCTGAAGGTAATTTTCAATCATTTATACACTGCTGTGGTTTCATCTTTAATAAAACGTTTTTATATTTAAAAACAAAAAATTTAAAAAGTGTACTAAAGTTGTTAAATAATTGAAGTGTAAAACAAGAAGAATACTTTTTACTGAATTGTAGTAAAGTTGTAACCTTACAACTATTTTGATTTAATGTACTTAGTTGTTTTTCACCAGGGGGAAATACTCCGTATGAAGCACGTTTTAGACTAAACTACAAGATAAAATCAAATAATGATACAGCATCTGGAATTCAAATATTTAATAAAATTATGTTTTAAATAATACTCTCCTTTGTGTTTGATTTACCAATCAAAAAAAGCAGCAATAGTAGATTGACAACTATACTTTCATCATCACCACAATAAGTAAACATTTAAAATTAAGACAGAGTATATTACGTATTCGAGAACATTGTTGGTGCTTCATAATTGTTTGTAATATGATTTACAACATATTCACTTATTTCCAAATTAAACAAAATGTACATGACAAAAGTTGCTCAGCTTCACTAATAAGACAAACCGCTTAAATAAAAGGTAAGCACATTTTGTTTTTGTGAATGTTATTCAAAGCTTAATTTGTTGTGTTTATATATGAGAAGTTGATGTCTAATATGAGTTAATTAATGTTTTGTTTTTTAAATCCGTTGTCTTCTACTTATCAGCCCGGCTTCACCTCCCAGTTTCTATTTCTCTTTAGTTCAGGTTCGGCCGTCCTAGTGGATGCCGACATTACCGTCTTGTCGGTTATTGATGCCGACAGGCTACTAATGCCTTGTTCTTTTTTTAACCTCACACCTACGTTCATTTTTTGCTATACTCGATGCAGTAAATCAATCCGATGGCAGCCGTGTTTTTTTTCCCAATGCCGAAATATTTTGCTCCAAAGGCAATGGATACAGAGGAGTTTTTTTTTAAAGCACAGGACAAATGGATTCCAATAGGGACAATCAGACAAAATGTAAGAGTTGACAGTGGTCCAAATCTGGTTGTTCTAGATAACTACGCCCCTATTGAGCACTGTCAATTATCTCAAAGAGCCCTGAAACTTTGGCTGATACCGTATTTTGTGATGTCATACTGCACAGATACTGCATGTCAGCAGTTTTACCTTTGCGACATGATCTTGTAGGCATCCGGGAGATAGCAGTTGATGTTCTCCATCTGGAACGGGTCGGCGTCACAGATCTTGTCATCCGTTCGGCCATAATTGGCACTTTCGATCATTATGACATCACTTCCGGGACAGCGCAGATCGATGGGGTAACCCTCGCAAGACAGCTCTCTCCGCACTAAACCAAATGGCAGAGCAGCTCGACTGAACCCTGAGGAAGGAGAGAGAGACGCTCTATTAGTACGAATCAAACGGAGATGTGTAGTTGAGCTGACACTGACAAAGACAGCAGGAAAGACAGAGGACGCTGGATATCAGAGATTTGCTGGGTGTACATAAAAGCAGCATGCTGTGCATGCGCGTTCCTTTCTAATTCAAAAGGCTGCAGCTGTTTAGCAAGATGAATTAAGCTGAAATGTGGATAGTGAACCTTGGATTGGACTACCAGCCTGACATACATCAGAATATTGAGTGAACATTTCAGATCTCAACCGCACCAGTGAGCTAATGGTGTTAGTATGTCATGCGCATGCCTGACTGGTCCTATGAGAAAATCAATAATTGTCATTAAAGTGTGGTTAATGGGCTAAAATGTCAGGAGCATCGTAACCCCTTACGGCCATCGAGGTACCGTAAGCACACCGACGTTACACTAATGACGTGGTTATTGTCCTGTGTTTTATTTAAATACAGGAACAAAGCGCCATCACACATTTTACCACTCGAAACTTTTGCTTTACATACAAACCTCTTTTATTCTTAAATGAAAAAGTACAACAGGGATATGTATAACATGAGGGTAATTGAATCGTTTTTGCAGTGCTGACAGTCAAAAGGCGGACTACCGACACAATGTAAGAAAACTGTATTTACTGTGTGTGTGTGTGTGTGTGTGTGTGTGTGGCCAGGACACAGTAAATAAATCATTATTGCGGTTTTGGCTTCACAATTGAGAACAAAGTCAAAAGCAACAACGAAACTAAAAGCGCTTCATGCATAAAGTGTAGCAAACCAAAAAAATGGGACATTTTTGGTCGGAGCAGCTTTCTAAAGGTTGTGACATGTCAAGTATTAGAGGGGAGCGGAATAGAGCTTAAAAAGATTGCCAGCTGCCCCAGTGTGGACTTTGACTAAACCAGCGGCAGCACTGAATAATAACTGCAGCCTCCTCCTGAGCAGTGCAGACAGTCACCGCTTTGAGCCTTTTAAATAATGGTGTTTCTACCTGCAACTTGGTTGCTAGAGCTTCCCAAAGCCTCTATTCCCTGTATGACTATTAGTTCACAGTTACATGATAAAGTTCACCGTTACTATTTCTACTGCATTCCCTCGTTTGGCACCTGGAGATGAGCGACCGATTCCATATTTGCAGTTGTTTATAATTACAAAGTACTTTTTTTTTTCATGAATCATACTGAGAGATATTTTATCATTTAATTTGTAGCAATGGTTTTCTTAAAGCCACAGACTGCTCTAAGAAACGTGCCTGGTTCATTTTACCCTGATGGATCAATTAGCTACCGATGCAATTGTCTTAGCCTGATTAAATGCAGCGCCACAATGCCATAATGACACGAGATGAGAATTCTATAAGTTCCCTTTCTAGGAAATAATAATGTGGTATTTTACAAATGAAGATAAATGTCAGGTTTTATGGGCTGATCGAATGTGTGCACCAATCAGGTAAACAAAGGCTATATCTATATGCAGGGCAGCTCGCCTATCAAACATATGTATTTTTTTATTAGGCAGCATACAATCATCAGGGAAGGATCTTTTTTCTTTTTTGCTTCTACTTGCTCCTTTTGACAGCAACCTTGCTCATGTGACCAATAGGCATGGGAAAGTAAAGGCTTTCAGATTTGATAGGTTTCAGCTATATGTCATTTCTTTCCCTTTTCTCTCTGCAGTCAAAAAGAAACACTTAAGGTGATGAACAATTTATCAGAGAAGTTGGCTCGAGAGAAAAAGCTCAAGAGGGAGAAAAAAATGAAAACGCCGCATGCTAAACAAAGGATTGGCAGCCAATCTCGAGGTCATGCCCATGCACTTCACCACAGCTCCATCAAAAGTCAGCAATGCAACACGATGTGTATCACTCTAAGAAACCCATGTAAAACCACAGTCAGTGCCACGTTAGAATTTGTACTATTTCTATACTCAAAACAGGATATGATAACGACATATAATGGATGTGTGTGTATATTTGTATGTGGGGTGTATATATATCTATGATTATATACATAGATAGACATAAATAATATGTATGTATATTTATGACATATACAGTACCAGTCAAAAGTTTGGACACACCTTCTCATTCAAATTTAATGAAATGTTTCTTTGTGTGCTATGCCTTTGAGTTTGATCTCCAAATTCTCCAAAAACCCTGACGTGCCGTGTCGCATGAACACTGCTGTACCATTTGATTTTCCTGCGGAGTCTTTACAGCCTCAGATTCTGGTTTTATGATTTACAAATGACGCGCACTCTCTGCTTCAGTGGGAAAACAGATATGAGGAGATAAATGTGTTCTAAAGAGTAGCGTAGGACTCCTACTGAAATGCACTAAGGAACTTCTCAACCATGCTGATAACAGTTCCATGTTAACATATTTTGTAAATCAAAGAAAATGGCTGTCATCTAAGTGTAGCGTATTTGCTGCTGTTGTGCATCATGGCCGAAAAGCATGGTCGTAAAAAAAATTCTCTCCATTGATTAGGCCCGGGGCTGAACTACTTTTCACTCTGGTGTCGGATGGTATTTTTGTTACATGGAGGGGGGGGGGGGGGTGAGAGTGACAGACAAATCTATACAGGGACACACAGTCCAGCTAACAATAGAGGCAAGTATATAATGCGTCTATGATTAAATCTACAATGCTTGACTGTCTTTCTAACTTTTTTGTGCATTATTGAGTGATATTTTGGATATTCCTCAGAAAATATCTCCTGGGTGCTGTGGTGGTCTGATCCGTTCAACTACAACAAAAATATACAAACATATACATTTGAATTTATTGATGAAAACGTTATTTTATATTATACGCTAGAATAAAGGGTTTATGTGACAACTTCAAATAAATCCTGTTCTTATGAAGACACCAAAAGCACCATCGCTCATGTTCTGGTACGACAATGTATCGCAATTATAACAAAATGATGTGATCACTGTGGATCTAACATGAGCAAAATGTAATGCTTACTATCCAACGCAAATAAATAAGTAAATTATTCAAATGAGCCAGAAAGCCATCAGCATTATTGGGGTCGTTAGCATCAGCAACGAATCAGGGAAAGCGTATGAAAATGATTTACTTTCCATAAGGTAAAACACATCAATAATATCAATCGATGGAAGACGTCAACATTCCTTCTCCTGATGAGTCTTCTAAAGTGAAACAGTTTATTGGAGCAGTTGTTGCTAAATTGTGTTTCAAGGGCCTTTACTTTTTACGCCACACACCAATGGTGCATCGGGGCGAGAAGGACACACGACTGACACTCTTACACATTCAACGGGAAAAACTCAGCACCCTCCTGTGCAGGTACCCCAGGCTTCAGATAACTCCTTGAAATATGAGATATTATTCTGCAAGCTTTATTGTACTTTCCCCTCAGTGATAGCGCATGAAGTGACAAGGGCTGGAAAGGAGGGCGCTTATCAATCAAACTTGTAAAATGAAGAGTTTCTGTGCACTAATTGAACACCAGGGAGCAAAGGATCAACGCGTTGTGAATCAAATACTATGGGGGGAAAAAAAACTCAATCTTGTGACCATGGCAACCTGGTGCAGTAAAGAAATTACTGGTCAGATGCTTACCATCTTCATGGCCATGCTGACACTAATCAGGCATCCTGTCCACCCATCCCACCCACAACTAACACCATTAGAAAAGCATTTGAATTCCTCTTTGTTCCGAGCATTGAGCTGAATAATAACCAAATGCATTGCAATATAAACGAAAATCACAAAAAACACTAGGTTCCAATTTTTCTTCTCCACCCACAGACTGAAATAAAAATATAAATACTAGCATTAACAACCACAAACATTGGAATGTGAATTAAAGCCAGTTTTCAATTTTGTGAAATAGAAAACAGCTGTTTGGTTTCTATAAAGCACATGATCACTCAACTTTTTGACAAGTGCTTATTGTACATGCTGTTGTCACATGCTCGTAATTGACACTCATTGGTGCACAGGGTTTCTATTTCCATGGGTTATAGCACTTTATTAGAATATATGAGGAACCTCTATTTAAAGCTTCCCAGACTGGCATTTATTACCATGTCTAACCTTTGCAATAAGATTATGCCCAAACGGAGTCTGCAGCTGCAGAACAGTGAGAAACTCCCTGACATAAAGAGGACCCATTATGACCCCTTCTCCGGTTGTCTAATGTTTTAATTCTTCTTTTTTTTCCCCCAATGCAGATGAGCCAAATCAATTGGAAAGTGACCATCTGGTAGGATATGAGTGTCACTGCAGCCGAGGTAATGAACAAAATGCCTTCCTATTTCACACCAACCAGGAGCCATCGCGATCTTCATCAGCCTTGTAGAGACCTTGTATTGTATGTAATCCCAGGAAACTGGATTACACATATCTGAAACAGTCTTACGTTTACTAAGGGCAACAAACGAGTTTGTTAATTATTTTTTTTTAAAAAGCATTCTACTATTGCATTTATGACGCAGGAACTATTCTGCTTTTCATCAGGACCATCTTGCCTCCAGGAAAAGGTTTTCATATTAAAATGACCCTTTGTAACTTGAGTTACACATGCTTCCAGAGTTAGTCCAGGGGCAAAGCAGAGGCTGATCAAAAGGCCCATTCAGCCACTCACGCTGCCATCATTGTGGCCGTGGCACAAAAGAGGTCTCCGGATTATTTTGATGTGAAACCAGATAATTCTTCTGTCGAGAGCCGATGTGAAATGTGACAGGGACGCTCCTGATGCTTGTCCTCTACCGTTAACATCTCCCTTTGATTTTCTTCTTCTGTTCTGATGAGAGCTATACAGCTGCTTGTAAATGAGCAAGCATTTTCTGAGCCCAACAAGGTCGCTTGCTGGGGGACATTTGGGGTGAAAGAAAAGTGTGGCCTATAGCATTAGCTTGGAGCAACAGGAAACGCAGCTTGAGTCTGTGCCCCCCCCCCCCCTCCACCCTCCTCTCAACGGCACAAGGCTGTGAAGGCGAAGGAGA